TAGAAGAAACAGACAAACGAGTTTTTCCATTATTAACACCCGTACATGTCATTAAATGCACACAGAATCTTGAAGGCAGCAGTCGTGTAATTAAACAACAAAAATATGGTAACTTGTTGACGACAAAGTCAGTCGCGAACACCACAAATACTCCCTCCTCGTAGATAGATTCGATAATCTCACGACATCGTATAATCCTCATGGTAAGATAAATGCTTAAAGGAAAAAAGGAGAAAAAAGAGCTGAAAGATGCGTGTAGTCAAGAGCTGAACCCAGTACTGTAGAATAAATCGGCTGATTCGCAGGCATATTTGCCTTCCGCACGAAGTCTTCTGCCAAACTGCAGTGACAACTTCTTTCAGCAGCTAGTTTCAGTCGCGTAAGTTGCATCAGAGAGGGATCAGTGACTAATTTCTCTGGCCACCCGTATAAAATCAAGAGTTTCGCATCGATTTAACCCCAGTGCTCAGCGGTCCGAGTCACAGTGGTGTGAATTATTTTAATATATTTTATAATACTTCATCTCCAAAAGTTAGCCACTCAACAGAGTGGTTTGAGGTAGAGCAGGTGGAAGATTCAAACCAGAAGAGCGGTCAAATGAATTTTGACCTTAGTCAAATTTTCTTATCACTTGTGCATACGTTTATCGTCTGTAGTCATTTAAAGACCTCAATTCCAGCTGCTAAATGTAAGCACTAAATATTTTGAGCACTTCTCCAGATACATTGGACAAGAAGATGATAAACTTGGTTACCTGTGCGGTTGGGTAAACTTGTGAACCGAATCCGAAGTCTTTATTAGTTGGGGGTCATTGATGTTAGCCACAGTCTTTTAGTAATAATGGCTCACGATCTCTTGCCCTTAATTCATTTGGCGCGAACAGAACCAAAAGTGGGCTGATTGAAAACATGTATTTTGATGGATCTGAAAGGTTATGAATCAGGTACCGCTAACTGATGCTAGCATTTTAGCGACAACAGCAGAAATCTGCAAGCAGATCTGATAAAAGGGAGTTAGACATGTGATCCACTATTTGGTGATATGTGACAAATTCAATGGTACACCTAGTAGTGATTAGTTACGAAGAAAAGTTATTTATCTCCTAAATGCAATACTGAAGCAAGCGTTCAACTTCCATAGATTACGCTGACTGGGACATGTGCTACACACCACCAAACAGATGTTTGCCGAGGTAGGTAACGAGTGAAAGACAGATAAAGTTGCTCAAACCGAAACCTGACATGAGGGTGCGAAAAGCCTGAACAGAAGACTTTGTCATCTAAGTCATGTCAGGCTCCCCAGATTCGGACGTCGGAAGAAGCTTGACAGACGGTTAGAGACACTGGACGAGATGGTGGAGTGTCGCAAACAATGGCGCTCATGCACCTCCTCAATCATTTTGCAACATGGGTCCACCAGAAATTTGTATTTTCACGTGCACACTGTTCTTAGCATTCTAATCTATTCTCTCCTCTGTCATCCAAACGAGCAATCAAAAGACAAGAACCAAAACCACCGCACGAAAGTGGTTGGTTAGTGGAGGTCTAAGCTTAACTGAAGTGGACGAGAAGAAAACAATGCGAACTGGACTATGCTTCCTTTCAACAGAAATATGCAATAATGCAGTAGTTCCAAACCGGAAGAAGTGCTCTGGCTGTCAGACAATGACGTGGTTGTTAAGTATAAAGAATTTAGCCTCAATATTGGCTTCCGTTGGTACCACTCGCTTTTCAGGTTTGAGATCAAGGAAAGCGAGTGATTGATGGTTATAAAGATATCGCTAAAGGCAGAAGTTAGTAGCACGAAGGCTGTACGGCCTGTTCTGAAGATTCTATGGCCCGTAAAAGACAAAAAGCACAAAGCACGCAAAAATGTATAAATTTGTACGCTTAAAAAAGCAAAAAATGATCACCATTTTAGTTATTTTTCTTCCTCTTCATTTTCGTTTACCTCATATGTACTCGATTCCCCTTCAGCCCTTCTCATTGTTGTCACGTTGGCACCATGTGTGTTCTCAAGCCAGTTTCGCACACACAACCATATATGTGTATACTTTCATCGCCCAACTGTTTCCCACAGACATTCCAAATAGCAACACATAAATATCCTGGAATTTTGCTTCCAAAACATAACAAATTCACTAGGCATTTCGACAAAGTAAGAATATCATGTTCCACTTCATCCGTCTGCCTAAATAATAGAAGAAGTATATTTGAATAGATTTTGTCTAAAACTGACCATGCATTAAAAAGAATTTAAGTTACCTTTTTGGATTATCAGGAGCTTAAATTCGTTCTAAATTGTTTTCTAGGGATCTGCCTTGAAATTTATTCTTTCGTCAATTGCTCCCAATTGATGGTATGCCAATGATTTAACAACGGTAACAGAAGACCTCAATAATGGACAGTTAAACAACACTAGATGGTCAATAGATGGTCACAATTCAAAACTGGACATAGCCTCCCTAACGATGTCTCTTTATAGCTCAGCTATACTCCGAGTAGCATATGACTATCTCAGACGGAACTCAGTTTAAGACAAAATGCACTGATCAAGACCTCACACAAGTGAACGAAATCCCCAAGCAATAACATGTCTGTACCAGTACCAGTTAACTTTCTTTGTGCCCGGCTGGCAAAAGTGTCATTGGACTGTTACCCAACACGTTTGAGATGCTTTCGAA